AAAAAACAAAAAAAAAACACTTATATATATATATATATATATATATATATATATATTCAGCCACATTTCTCACTTTTTGCTTAATTTAACTTGAAGTACAAAAATTACTATAACTAAATGAAATAAAATGAATAAAAGACAAAAAACTAATAACAAAAAAACCAACAAAATTACTAAATCTTTTAAAAATACACACACACACACAGTATAGTATATCAATGATAGTCAAATAACACTCATTGACAGTCCCTATTATTGTATGTAGGGTTGCAAAAAGGTGGAAAATTTCCAGTAAATTTAGGAAATATTCCAGAAATTTTGGAGACTTGCCAGGATTTTTGGGAAAAGTTTCCCAATTTTCCGCCCCTTTGCAACCCTAATTGTATGCTTGAGAAAAGAGCATTTCGCTAAACTTTTCTCAAACAGAAAAATCACAGATTTGGAACAACATAAGCAAGACACAATTTTCATTTTGGGGTCCGAGCGCAGTGGTCACTGTGTTGGGCAGATTGACACAGACTGAAACACACCTGTGCTTTAAACGCGCCGCTGTCAGTGAGCCTTCTGCCAGAGCTACTGCTGCTACACTTCAGTGGACTGCCACTGTAAAAATACCCTCAGTGGAGAGCAGCTCCTTCACAACTCGTGTTTTCATAAGTGTTCTACTCCCCGTCTACTTGTATTTGACGCATAACAGCATGCTGCTATTTGACAGAATGCAATATTTAGTCATGTAGTACTGTCTGTCAGCTGTAAGTACTGTCACTTGAAGCATATCAGTGGCATTTGAAGAACAAATATGGCATAGAATAGGATATTACAATAGATAAATGAAGTAAATAGTAATTGTTGCCTTGTATCTGTGCTCTCATTACACTGTGGAATAAATAAACCGATCTGCATGTTGTGTTGTGAATCTGTCACAGGGATGATATACGAAGAAAAGGACACAGCCAAAAGAAAAGATTTAGATTTTGAATGCTCGCCATCCATTGTCTTCCCCTTCATAAGCAATCTCACAAAAGCACACAGCCCATAAATTAAGAACAACAACAGAGATTCTCCAGCACTGACTGTAATGATAGGCTGATGAGACAGATACGCTGCCCCCTCTAATTCATGGAAAGAGCTCTACATGGACGGACCAGCCGTTAACTTAATGAAATCTGGCCTAAACTGATAATTCGATCAATTCTGTTTCAAAAAAAGACATGAATGGGCAAGATACATGAGCTCATGATCTGAATATCAGTGAGGATGATTGTGGTTTTGGGTGAAAGAAAACAACTTGTAAGACTTGTAAAAAGGGGATATTTATAGAAAAAAGCAGTCAGAACCAAGTCGCTTTGTTTCATATGATAGCCTTCTGTGAGAAATGGATTGAAGTTTGGGTTATTCACTAATATTTTCACTACATTCCTGTAGTTCAAACTTTATCAACACCAAAGTCATTAGTTCCATTCCAAAAGATTGCAATAAAAATACAAATAAAAAAGTTGCTTTGGATAAATCTTCGGCTCATATATACAAAAATTTTTTTGAATGTACTGTAAATTATAAAATTAATCTATTTCAATTTTACGCACACACACACACACACACAGACACAGACACAGACACAGACACAGACACAGACACACACTCATTAAATGTATATTATTTAATGTAACTGTGTATATATTTAAATGTTTTCTAATTTTTATATATTTATAAAGCATATAAAAATCTATCTATCTATCTATAAAAAATGTTTGAATGTACTGTAAATTATAAAATTCATCTATTTCAATTTCACACACACACACACACACACACACACACACACACACACACACACACACACACACACACACACACACACACACACAATTTATATTATTTAATGTAACTGTGTATATATTTAAATGTTTTCTAATTTTAATATATTTGTAAAGCATATAAAAATCTATATATCTATCTATAAAAATGTTTGAATGTACTGTCAATTATAAAATTAATCTATTTCAATTTCACACACACACACTCAATAAATTTATATTATTTAATGTAACTGTGTATATATTTAAATGTTTTCTAATTTTAATATATTTATAAAGCATATAAAAATCTATAAAAAATGTTTGAATGTACTGTAAATTATATAATTAATCTATTTCAATTTTACACACACACACACACACTGAATTTATATTATTACTGTGACTGTAACTGTCTGTCTGTCTGTCTGTCTGTCTATCTATCTATCTATCTATCTATCTACTGTGTGTTTTGTAATGTATGAACAAGTAGTTATAATTGAATCCAGTAGGGGGCACTTTAGGTCTCTTTTTAGAAGTTATGCAAGACATATTTCCAAACATCAGTAATCGCAACTTTTTCAATTATCATAATTTATAAGAATTATTATTATTTGAATAAGTAACCTAATTTACACTGTTAAAGAGTTGGATTCTCATGCTAAGCATGGACAAAGTTTAAAAAAACAATCTGGACGTATGACAGGGTACTTCTGTGCCAAAAATCTTATTTCCGGGTTCGTACAAGTTTCGGGGACATTCAACCGGAAATGTACATTATCTGTCCTTGACTTGTTACAGTGAATAAAAAGTATTACATCCCAAAAACGCTGAAATCATGTTTTTTTTCATTGTGCATTCCAATTAATCTCAATCAAACTTTAGTTGGGTTATTTTGATCAGGTAAAAAAATAACTAATAATTACAGCTAACTAACACAATAAAACACAATAAAAACATGATTACATAATAAAAAACATGATTTTTGAGTTATCGGTTTTTGCAAATAAACTCTTCATATATAGATGTATTTGTCATCTATATAAGCTTTATGTAATGATGACTGTAATTATTCCAATTCATACAGATACCATGGTAATATCTACATTATTACCTAGGAAATTACATGCAATTTCCGTTATTACCATGCAATTTCCTAAGTAATAATACAGATATTACCATAGTATTGCCCTGTTATTACTGAGCCATAATAGTATGTGGTACCACAGTTACTTTGTGCTATTCAGTTAAATGTCTATACATTTGCTTTATCATAGTAAAATATACTTTATATATTATGAAGTTATATTTATATTTATTACACCCGCGTACGCGTAGCACAACACAGGGTTATTGTTTTCACTCCTGTCTGAGTTTGTGCCATTCAAACAGGTAATTGTTATTGTTAAATTAATTTTAACATAGTAGTAGTACCATTACAATTTTGTTTTCACTACTGTCTGCGTTTGTGCAATTCTAGTTGTTTATTTTTATTGTATCTGGCCATGTTATTGTTAAATGGAATTTTAATAAATTGTTAAATGAAACATGTTTTTATATTGAAATAAAATGAAATTAGTTTATTAATTTGTTAGTCATATTCTAATGAATTAGGCCCTTATTATATGTCCTTGGCTGAATTTGACCATAGTCTAATATTACATTAACACTAAAATTATAATAATAATTTAAAATAGGAATGCTTATCAACTTAAATAAAGAACACAAAACATAACTTTTTCTGCATCAACGAAATCCATAAAGTCAGTCACGCCTCAGTCAGTCCTGTCACACAGGAAATTATGTTATAAAAATTTAATATTTGAGGAAATATTGATGAATTAATCTCTGTATCTGTGTAGATGAAGGTTGGAGTACAAATCCACTACTATGTTATACTATGTATATGAGATTGGGTGAAACTGTGTGTGTTATGCCCCCTTTAAGCAATCATTTTGCTCACGGAATAAATTAATCATGGCTGACCACGATTCATGATTCTACAGTGGCATTGGCAACTGATCATTTTTGCTTTTGCATGGTTACACTAATGCAATGTGAAAAATAATAAAAACAATTGTTTAAAAATTCAAATAAATTAATAAAAAAAATACCACAAGACAGAAAATAGGATCTGCAGGGCAAATAATAATAGTAATAAATTAATGCCAACTATAAAATAATAATAATAATAATTAAATATATTCATTAATAGGATGAAAGCCTTATACATTTCTTCACCAGGGTCACAAATGACTAAGGAACTCTTTCTGTCTTGAATAAAAACAAAATAAACAAATGACTAATTATTAAATGATTAATTATTAATTTAATAATGCTAATTATTAAATTGGAAAGTGTTAATTATTAAATTACAAAAAAATTACAAATGACTAAAAATTACTTTTCAAGGACACTCATGTATGGTATGAGTTTGTTTAACATCAGAGTTTGCTTGAAATGGAGGCTCACGTGCACTCTGGTGCAGTTCACAATTTTATGAACGTAATTCTGTCAAACTAGGAGAGAAATGAGACTACTACTGTTGACCAAAACCTTCAATGCATTTGTCATGCTGCCTGTCATCACAGAAAATATATTGTATTAGTGACGTGTGGAGATCATCATATTATATATTATACATCCACTTTTTTAATACAAAGCTCATATTGTCGAAAAATGCACCTAAAAGTCCAAACCACATGGTGCCAGACACTTAACCCAAAACACGACCGTTACAACCTATTTCGGGTTGGAGCGCATGAGTGCATGTTAGTTGAAGAATATTCCGTCTTGTTAAAAGAGCTGTGTTTACTGCCTACTTGGTTTATTTCCATACTACAATCTGCTACCCATCTGGCATAACTCATTTTAATTAAGATGGTGATTTTCCTAAAAAAGAGCAAAAAGAAAAGGAAAGTTAGTACGGGGGTTCTTAGACACATGCATTTCCCGTTTCTGGTTGTGCGATGACAATGGAAACTGCAATTATGCTGAGGTGTGTTTGAGAACACCTGCCACTGTCCATCTCCATGACTGCTTCCAGCAGGCCACAGCGCGCCGCTAGTCGACTCTGACAGCCTGCCGTAGCTACTATAATGCTTCACTGCCCAGCACTAGAGCCAGATGTTTCTAACATGACAGAGCCCATGCAAAAATCCATTAATGCTCGAAACAATAGCTTGGTCTGTTCTCCACTGTCGCTGGAATCACAGATCAGAGGGTCTCCGAGAGGTAATCTTGCTGGAGTGGCCACTTTTGCTCACTTTTGTGGATAACAATCCTCAATCCACTTATTCTAGAGCTGGGGAGAGTGTGAAAACACACTTTGACTTGACCGAATGCACCTGTGTCTTGCTCAAAGTCAAACACAGACTCATCTGACGCAACAGCAAATTGCGAAATCTTTTCCAAGATGTCCTTAATCACCGAAGAAAGAGGATGAAAGCCTCATTAATGTTTTCAAAGGGGTCACAAATGACTCGGGGAAATCTTTCTGTCTTGAATAAAACAGCAGAAAATTACAAAATCTTTTCTTGGACACTGTGGCGTGAGTTCATTGAACGTCAGAGTCAGTTTGAAATGGTGGTTCATGCGGACTAATCGGTATGAACATAATCCGGTCAAACTAGGAGAAATGAACTACTGATGACGAAAAACTTCAATGCATTTCTCATTGCTGCTTGTCACCACAGAAATTGCCTTTAGCGAGCCGTTCATGTTCATGTTCATTACATTTCCTGCAATACATCCACTGGAAGACAGACACCGGCTGAATTCGGAATAGCATACTGTACTACTCTTACCATTTCTGCCATATATGTCAAAAAGACATCACTACACCTATTTCTGTGATATATATGAGGTAATAGGAACATTTTATGCAGGCTGCTAAATCAAAAAGAAATTGCTTTTAACACAGGAATCTGCAGCTGAATTTGCAAAAGTATACTAGCATGCTCTTACGATGAAAGAACAATAAAACAACTACAAAGAAACGGCAAGTAACAAACTGAATTAAACGTAAAGTTTTGTAGTAGAAAGACTGAAATAGTATTTTCTTGTAACACATTTTCCAATCTTTGAATTATTTACAACTTAGAAAAAATTTATATATTTTAAGTGTAGTATTCTTATGGAACAGCACATGTAAAATATATAAAATTGTTATATACAATTTTACCTGAAATAGACTACCATTCAAATATTTTGGGTTTCCAAAAGAAGTCTTTTCTGCTCACCAAGGCTGTATTTACTTGTTAAAAAATACAACAAAAACAATAATATTTTGAAATATTACAAATTAAAATAACTATTTGAATATATTTTAAAATGTAATTTATTCCTGTGATGCAAAGCTGAATTTTCAGCAGCCATTACTCCAGTCTTCAGTGTCACATGATTGCCAATGTGAAACTGAACTGAAAACAGTAGTTCTGTTTATTGTTTTTGTGGAAACTGTGATGCATTTTTTTTCTTCAGGATTCTTTAATCTTTAATGAATAAAAAGTTCGAAAGAACAACATTTATATTTTGTCATCTTTTAAAATCTTACCGACCATATAATTTTGAATGATGCAAATGCATATCAGTGTTGTAATGTCTCTTTGATAACCCTATGCTCTGTAAACAGCTAAAAACGTAGAAGCAGTGGCCCACCCTTTTTAGGCCTATCTGAAAACCAGCCAATCAGAAATGCATTTTGTAGAAATGGCATATGGTTGAAGTTATCAAAATGGTTTACACTGCTTATAGCACCTCAGGGTTTGGGGTTTTAAACCACAGAAACAAAAACATGAGTAAAACACTGAACCTGGCAAATCACTGCATATAGCATTTGAGTTCAAATTAGGGCTGGGCGATATAGCTAAAAAATGTATCAACGATATAATGTTTCATATCTTTCGGTATCGATAATTATTGTCATTTTTTATAACCTTTTTTAAAACAAAGAGCAATAGAAAAAAATGTTTACATTTAACCACTGTATTTTTAAATTAACTAAATTTATTGAGACAAACAACAAATATTTTTGGTTTTAACAGTCAAACACAAAATACAATTTAAACAAATATCTAATTTCTAATGTTTTATATGCAGATTAAATAGGTTAAACTTTTGGCTTGTTTCCCGAAGCCACAGGAGGGAGCAATGAGCAAAATAATGCAGCACATTAAATTGTCAACGCAAGGAAATAACTGTCTATAAGAAAAAAGTGCATTACGTCTAAATTAACTCATATAAATCAAATATAATTTTGTAAATTGCATAAACAATTATGAACGAAACAGCATCACGTATTTATGCATTGCTTAATATAAAGAGCCGAATCGCCCATCACACTGATTGCCTTTAAAAACATACGAGATGCATTGAAAAGGAATAAACCTCCACAAATTCGTGACGTGTTTTCTAAGTTTAAACGGTTTTAACTTTGCATGGCTACATCTCTTGTGTGAGACGCGAGTGCAGCAGTCATATTTGTCCGTCTAGAAAATGTGCTGAATATGCATTCTGTGTGAATGGCTTGGTTTCGGTTTTAACCTAATCAAGATCTTCTACGCATTGAGCTACTATATTTCTCTAATATTTTGAATGAATAACGCAGCAACTGCGCGTCTCGTGGGCTAGACTAACAAAACATTAAACTACAACGTCACCGCATCTCGTGCTCCACTGATGACACTCCCTGACACACACCTAACTGTCACGAATCCGGTCCATGAACTTCCAATTTCATTGACTCTCGCAATACACACTGTTGCACATCACCCCGGACTACATTTTCCATCATGCATTGCACTGATTACACTCAGCACGGATTGCACACAGCTGTTTACACTGATTGCACCCAGCTGTTTCATATCACTCCCTCACTATTTAACACTCACTCTGATCCCTTCCCTCTGCCGAGTATTGTTTCAGCGATTATCCCTCCCCTAGTGATAGCTACACTACAGAGCCCTCAGTAATTTCCCAGCCTCAGCCTCAGCCTCAGCCTCAGCCGCTTTCTCGGTTTCTGATCTTCGCCTGGTTTCCTGGATTTCTCCCTTAGTCTTGCCCCTTCTGATTCTGTCTGCCAATCGTAAAACCCACGCTAGCCCTAGGATTATTTTAAACTACAACGTCACCGCATCTCGTGCTCCACTGATGACGCTCCCTGACACACACCTAACATTCCATTGTACTATTTTTGCATTCAAATGCAAATGTTTATTTTAAATTCGACTATTATTCATTTTTTTTAATACACAATCTCCTCATCACAGGCAGGCACAGCACTCATGTTCATGTTTGTGTGTGCTGTCTGCGTCACTCATAGCACGTGCCTATATCGTGCACTATATCAAACATTATTTATATCGTTATCGAAGAAGGTGTACCGTCGATAAATATCGATACCGTTTTATCATCCAGGCCTAGTTCAAATATCCAAATACTGTATAGCCTACTGGTATTCAAGCAAATGTGGTAGGCTACTGATGTATCCCTTGGATAAACAAACATGTTTTGTTAAAAATAGTACATTTATCCAATGTTTTGTGGAAATAAATGTAAATTTCAAAGTGTGAAGAAACCTGATAGGAAAGGGAACAAAAGTGGAAGTTTAGACCAAGCAATCAAAGCCAATATGAGAACATTTTTTCATGTAGAGAATAAAAAAACCCACATGAAGTTAAAGACTCAACAGCTTTATCAAATTCAACGAACTGAAAATATTAGCAAAAAACAAGAGCTCAGCGTGTTACTCTGATATTCCGACAGAGTACGTTCTGCAGTGCTCAAGGCGAGCAGCATGTGTTCGGTGTTTAACGCTCGAGATCTAAAGATTTAACACTAAAAAAGAAAAACTACACCGCTTGACTCATTCAGAACAGCAGAGGCAACCGTAAAAAGCACATCTCGCCAGGATGACAGAAAACAGCCTGTTTTGATTTTCGCTCGCACCTCGACACAAGCCGCACGATTTGAATTAATACAATGAAATGAAACCGTGCCGCCCCGTTCACAAAATAAATGCGGGAATGAGTAATAAAATGAAGTCTGAGAAAAGAAAAACAGCCCTTCTTACAGGAGCTGTAATAATAAGGGGGCTAGCGTGCAGTAGAGTTGAGTTTTCACCGCTTTCCACCGTCGCTGTCCTGCCAAAACCTCTTATCTGCCCAAAACAGCCCCTTCGCTCTGGCAAAGCTTTAGCAGTTCAAATCGGGGCTAATGTCTTCCTTTTTGTATGCGAGTCCGATCACATCGCACGGATGAAGTGATTATGGAAATGTCGGGGAGGTGCTGGAAACAGCTTTTGGGGGAGAAGTGAAGAGAGCTGACACTGAGTCGCCAGCGTGGAGAGAGGAGAGCGGGGCCATTGTGTCGTCGAGTTAGGATGATAAAGGCTGTTTTGTGTGTGCGGACTGTTTTCATATTGAGGGAGACATACTGCGATTCCCTATTGTGAGGCGAGACAGGGAAAAGGAACTGGATCTTTCTCTACCCATTTATTGATCAGGTCCATTCAAAGCCCTGTGTCCATCAAACAGTGTGCCTGTATGTTTCCTTTTTGCAATGCACAATCGATGCACTTATGGAGCCAAGCATGTGATTGACATTTGTAAATGGCAGTTTAGCAATATGAACAAATATACTGACTGCTTTAATCAACCAGCATGATCATCTAACAATTTAAAAGACCCTAAAAAAGGAATTCTCTCTCATCATTTACTTACCATCATGACATTTCAAACCTCTATGACTTACTTCCTTCTATGAAACACAAAACTAGATGAAAATACAAAAAAGCATTAATGTTAAGCAGATATTTTAGCTTTAGACCTTTTAATCCATGCATCATTAATGTAGTCCATATGGCTTATTCCAAGTCTTCTTCAGTTTTTTGAGGCCCATATGGAAATGTAATACTGTATATGACATATATTGGCCTATATCAAGAGTGGCATTGCCATTTATACGTAACATAACATACAGACATTTATAATTTGTATAAAATCCCCATGGTAAAGCCTGTATATGCACGTATGTTAATAATATCCATTTTATACTTTTTTAATGTGGTGTTGGTTGCTACATTAATATATTAATATATGCACAAATGTGTTTATATATGTTTTTGTATTTTTTTAAAATACATGTATATCTTTTATATTTACTCATATATAACATCAACATGTATTGATGGGCTTTAGGATGGATAAACATTTGTATCTAAAAATACACATTTGTTTGGGTTAGACATTTATATTAATAAATGAAATTGTTTCAATTTCTGATAAGATTCATATATGTTTTTACTTCTTATGACATATTTTGTATTTGTACATGTATTTGCATATGGGGAACACAATGAAACTGAAGCTTTTATTAAATGACAATCTTTAAATATTACTCATGAATATTTAGCTATGATGACACACGTGAGTGCCAATTTTTTTGCATATATTCAAAATCTGAGGGAAAGATTTTCAGTCTTTCAGTCAAGAACTTTGACAAATTTCAGTATGTTCCTCATACAAACCTATCAGATGGCTTCAGAAGACTTGAAATATAGGTTCTGGATAATTTTCCATGAAAGAAAAATTAAAAACAATGACACAATTTTCATTTTTGGGTGAAATATGCCTTGAAACGAGTTTATGAACACAGCAAATGGATTTTTGAACAATTGAACATGATAGGACTTGCTAAAATCACATTTCTGATTCTAATATATTTGACATGCTAAGACTAAGCATTTCTGATTCTGACCATCAGGACCTACTGTACCTTCAAAGCAGACGTGATAGATAACACTGACGAAACACACAGAGATGCAGTTTGAAATGAGCTTTTCATGAATAATCAGTGTCATTATTTCACATTTCGCAGTAAGATATTCAAGCTGAAAATGCTGATAAATTTGCCCGATGTTATCCTAATTGCTTGCGGTTTTGGGGGAATGGCTTTCGAAATGAAGGATTAGGAAAATGCAATTTCAGAAAGCACGCCAGTGTGACACATGATGGAGGAGGGCTGCGGAGGTAAATGAGTCACATGGAACAACAGCACAAAGCCGCTGGTCTAGTTCTGAGTCTTGGTTTATTCACAATATGACCCAAATTTAATCCCAGTGCAAAAGGTCAATGCTGAGCATATGCTGAAAATACAAACAAAGAGAACAATGGTTTGGGTCATACAGTAATAAACAATGAATATGTTGCTATTTTTTTTAAAGTATATTACTCATTTGATTTGCTTAAAGGATTATTAACCGAGAAATGAAGATTCTGTCATAATTTACTCACCCTCATGTCATTTCAAACCCATATGTCTTTCTTTCAAACTGTGGAACAAACATCAGGTAAGATGGGGGGAAAAAACAACAACTTTAAATTCAGAGATCATATGAATTGTGCATTATATTTCAAATCTTCTAAAGTCATATGACAAGAAAGAGACTGAAATTTAAGTAATTCACAAAAAATCTGACAGTAAAGAAATGTATAGCCTGATGTTTCAAAAGATTCATATTTCCAAAATAAATAAATACTTTCGAATTTTCTATTTATCAAAGATCCTGAAAAAAAACGCATCATAGTTTTTACAAAAATATTAAGCAGAGCAACTGTTTTCAACAATGATAATACCGTAATAAAAATTTCTTGAGCAGCAGTTTAGCATATTAGAATGATTTCTGAAGGATCATGTGACGCTGAAGACTGGAGCCGAGAAATTACATTTTAAAATATATTACATTAGAAAACAGTTAAATTGTAACAATATCCCTGTTTTTACTGTATTTTTAATCAAATCATTCACCAAATCAGCCTTGGTGAGCATAAAACAAGAAACTTCTTTTAAACATTAAAATCTTACTGACAACAAAGTTGTAATCGGTCGTGTAAGAATAATCAAATGTTGATCTGTTCCATAACACAAAGCAGTTTTATTGTTCAAAAGATTTGTATAATAGTGCATAAGTCATATGGACAATTTTTATGTTACTTTAATGGTGCTTTTCCCCCTCCTTTCAAGCTTGACAAACGTATCCTCTTTCACTTTCATTGTACAGAAAAGAGCAGCATAAACATTTTTCGTAATATCTATTTTAAATCATGCAGTGCAATTTTCATTTTCAGGGTGAACCAACTCGCGCACTGACGTTCACATCTGAAGAAACTATATAATTTCCCAAAAGACCCATCTCAACTAAAGATCCTTTGCATTAAAGATCTTCTGAAAGCAAAAACTGGTTTGAAATTAATCCATGCCCAAGACTTAACAAATCGATGCGCTCTGGACGCATGAGAACTAGAGTTATATAATGAAAAACTGACAATGATTGACGCATGTCGTCATAGCCCAGTATAAGCCAGCTGAGATCAAACAGGAGGATTGTGCCTGTCAAAGCACATTTCAGTCGTTAGGTTATTAATCATGCAAAATTTTCCAATCACAAAAGACGTTCAGTAGACAGTGCCGTCTTCCTCTCTCCCTGACAAATCCTAGTGAGTATTAATGCTTTTAAGTGAACAAAAATGGATTGCGCTCTCAAATCAATGTTCAAGTGACAAATGAAACCCCAGAAAATATGAAAAGAGGAATGAGAAGGAAAAAAAAAGCAGAGAGGGGGAGCGAGTGAAAAACTGTAGCTGGGAAGAACTGTGAAACCGTGACCTATTCAAAGG